GCTGGAAGAATGGCTGCAGATGGGAGCCCAGTACGCGCCACTGGTGAGAAAGCTGGGAGCCTCCGAGAAGGCGCCAGATGCTTGGTGTTCCCAGGGTATCAGAGCTCCAGTGGGTAACGCCCCCTGAGAGGGTGGGAGAGTGACCCCCACACCCACCTCAGCTGACTCTTTCTGCCCCGGCCACATCACGCTCAGCTGGGTCTGCTCCTTTGGGCAGGCAACTGTCCTGAGATGCCACATCCCCTCGTCACGTCCCTCCTACAGCTGTTCCGGCTCCCCACTGCCTATGAGGTGATGCCCGAGCTCCCGAGCCAGCCGTCACAGCCACACGGCCCCACCTGTGGCTCTCCCCTCGCCCCTTGTCCTTTCAGCAGCAGGGGGTGGATGGAGAGGACACAGGGTTCCACGCTGTGGGACGCCCACTGTGTTGTTGCAGGAAACTGATTATAGGTACTATAATCCCCACGCTATGGAAGAGAGCTGGGGCGTGGAGAGGTTAAATAATACTGATGCTAAAATAACGGCAACAGCCACCACTGACTGAGAGCTGATGTACAGGTGCTGGGCAAAGGGCTCTGCACGTCCTCTCACTGCATCCCTTCACCGCCTGGCAAAGTGGATACAATCGCCGCCATTTGATGGAAGCTCAGAGATGTTCAGAAATGTGTCCACACCGGTCCTGGGGCGAGGGCAGGGAGGCCACCTTCCCGTCTCTGCAGAGCAGACATGGCCAAGGGCAGAGACCTGGATTTCCTCACTTCGCCTGGAGTTAGATATAGGACTTAGAGGACCCATGGGTGAAAGTGACAGGGAGGCAGATTTTAACTCAACCATGAAAACCATTTTAGATGAGGTTTTCCTTGGAAATAAAAAACACCCAAGGAGCTCAAAGTCTGATGAACCTTCTATCTGGAGTCTTGTAGAAGACACTCCCCCTGTGTTTGGGGCCAGATGAGGCCTCATCTCAGAGAAAACCATAGCCCGGCTCCAGGACTGACCTGTTTACATCATGACCTTGAGCCAACTGCTTGAACTGTCTGAGCCACAGTTTCCACATTTGTGAAAGAGGGAAAGTAAGACCTCTCTGAAAGGGTTGTCGTGGGGATTCTGGAATGTGAAATCACAGGCACAAAAGCGCTCCTGCTTGGGCCCAGGGTTGGCATCTGATAAATGCTGGCTCAATCTGAACCTAAGCCAGGTGGGGGCTTGGGCCAGAGGAGAGTGACAGTCCCTCTCGACCCTGAGTGTCTATGCCCTTAGTCGCCACACCTGCCATGGAGCCCTGCTTGTTGTGATACTTGCCACAGGTCGCCACATACGCAGGTGAGGGTGTGCCCAGGGCCAAGAGGTCTGCTGAGAGCGCTCGGTTTAACTGCAGTGTGGTGTCCTCAGTTCAACTCCGTTTTGGAGGGGAGCACGGCGAGAGGAGGGGCGAATCTTATGATCTGCCTGAAGTGGAAAGAAAGCTCTTATCTCATTTCCTTCTCAGAGCCGCATGTGACGGTGACTGGGCCGTGGACGTGCCGGGGAGAGTAACGGGAACTGACAGCGGCCGGCCGCATTCTCTCGTCCTCTTCCCACAGAGGCGTCCAGAGGGGGACTGGGCCCTCCTTGCAGTGCCAAAATAAACGCGCATTGTTTCCAGCTCCGCAAGAGGCCTTGAGTGGAGCAGCTTCTGCCAAACCCAGTAGGAAGGAAGGCAGAGGGAGGGAAGGGGGCTGGGACCGGGAGGCACCCGCCACCCCCTTTCTCCTGACTTCAGGAAGCTGCATGTAGGCAAGCCCCAAAGCGAATCCCAGAGGGCACTGTGAGAATCTGGGCTTTTAGGGGAGAAAGAAGGGATTGGAACTCCCCTCTGCTGAGTGCTAGGCCCTTTGCTTATCCAGTGAGTTGTGTCAGGGGGCTGGGAGTACACACAGTCCCAGGTTCAAATCTGACCCTGTCTTTTGCTGATTTGGGCCTGGGCAAGCAAATAACTTCTCTGAGTTTCTGTTTCGTTACAGGAAAATGGGGTGATAGCAACAGTACTTCAGAGGGTTGTTTTGAAGGTTCCATCAGGTAACGCAGGTGAAGTGCTTAGCATAGTGCGTGGCACCTAGATGCACTCAAGACGTTAGTTTATTACTACTACATAGCTGCTAATAATAATATCATTCTTAAACTTTCACGACAATGCCAAGAGGTAGGTATTGTTACATAAATGTTATAGGTATGGAACGTGAAGCTCGAGAGAGCTTAAGACACCTGTTTAGGCTCTGACAGGTAATAAGTGGTAGGCTCAGGATTCAAACTCAGGTCTGCCTGGCTCGAAGGCCTGTACTTGTCGGACCTGCGTCTGAGATGGGTTTCCTGACACACATGCCCCAGTGCTCTGAGGTTGGAAGCTGGGAAGCAGCAAAAACAGAGACTGCCGGGTATCACTGCCATGGCCCAACTGCCCCCGAGACTTCACAGGCTCAGCCACTATCTCCCCCCCCCCACCCCCCGCCTGGCTGACCACTGAAGCCGGGTGCTCCCCTTGCCAGGCCCCGGGGCCCCTCCATCTTTGGAACGTCCACCGGAATGAGCGTCCGCAGCGTGAGCCCCACTCCGGGCTGCGTCTGCACAGTTGGCCTCCCATTCCTGCGTGGACAGCTTATGGAAGCAGAGCCAAAGCAACCTGGGATGTAAATCCTGGCTCTGTCACCCACTAGCTGGGTGACTTTGAGCATGTTACATGCTCTCTCATAGCCTCAGCTTTTGTAACACTGGAGCAATAGCACCTCGCTTTCCATGTGAGAATGACACGAGACAATGCATATGACAGTAAGTGCTTGGAAGGCGTTAGCTCTGCCCCCCCCCCCCGCCCCCGGCCTATTGAGCTGGTGCTCCCAACTCTCCTGCTCACTCAAGACCATCGGGTTATAGATCCTCGGGCCAGGACCTATTTTTCATCCTGATATGTGCTCTCTGCATGTCATCCTTGCTGAAAAGTGAATAACTCATGTGTTCATTTCATTAAATGCTGCCCCCACAAAAGTGTGGGCTTGTGCAATTCTCCAAAGACTGTCAACTGGAAGATATCTCAGAATTCCTCGTAAATCAAAAGGTTTCATTTTGCTGCCAAGACAGTCAACTCTCTTTGCCTTGAGTAAGGTGGTGGGCGGTGCTGGGCTCGGCTGGAGCCGGAGACCTGGCTCTGCCAGGCTCTGCCAATTACCCACACGGACGGGAGCAAACTGCTGCTTTCTCCCAGGCCTTGGTTTCCTCCTCTGAAAACGGTGGGGTATGTGTTGGGACCCATAGGGTGAGCTTCCTTCTCCTCCACCAGTTCTAACATTCTGGAACTTAATCTTCCTTCTCCCTCTGCCTCTCCCAGCCCCTTCCCACTCTGCTCCCCTACCCCTGCCTGCAATCCCTGTCTCCCTGTCAATCAGGTCGAATCAGCCCAGGGAGAGTGTGCGGAGAGAAAACGCTATGCATTCCTGGCAGACACAATCTCCTAATGCCCCTTATTGCAAAAGTACGCCTGCTGCGGGTGAAAAGAAGGGCAGCCAAAATTCTGTGTTTCTATTGTGGGGTCCAGGAAGGGGGGGGGGGCATTTGCCCACAGAGCTAAGGATGGATAAATTTAGAAGCAAAAAGAAGGTTCCTTCTCTGGTGGCAGCTTTGGAAAGGACTCCCAGGGCTAGCTCAAGGGGCTATGTGGTCACCTGGCGCAGCAGGTTTCAGGCCACCCAGAGGGGTCTGCAGACTGCGGGTGGCAGCGGGGTGTAGCATGCACGGGCAAAGGTCCCAGAGGGAACTCAGCTCCCCCCAAACCACAGTCAGAGCTGGTCTCTTGAGGAGTGGGAGGAGAACTGAACAGTTCACTTTCTTTACCACTGGGCCATCTGACTGAGGGTAGCAGATATAAACAGGGCCCGAGAAGGATTGCTGCTGGGTGCAGGGAAGGAGAGGGAGACGAAAGACAGCGACAAGGCAGGGACAGGGAGAGGTAGAGGGACAGAGAAGAAGCAAAGAGGGGCAAGATGGGGAAAATAGAGAGGCAGGAAGAAAGGAGGGAGGGAGAAAAGTAGGCAAGAAGAAAGGAAAAGGGAAGGGAAAAGTGAGGAAGGAAAATATTTCTAAAACAGTGTCATCTGAGTGCTGCTCCTGACAAAGGGGTGGGTGGGCAGCCAGGAGGGAGAGCAGCCGGCAGGCGCAGTGACTTCCTGACACACCAATGTCCTGTGCTGCTGCCCCATGGCCTGCCTAAGCAAAGTCTGGTTAAGAACCTCCCTTCCCCGCCAATCACACAACCCCAGGAACACTATTTACCTAAAACACGCAGAGACTGAGTGCCCTGGAGCCCTGTGTGGAATTGCAGGCCCCATGTGGCTTCATAATGAGACAGAAGAATGTCAGAGCATTCAAAATACAGAATGCAGGCCCACTCACTACATTGCTGAAGATGCTGTAGTCTTTGTTTATACCCACACTAGCACTTTTATGTTTATAAAACCACTCCTTTCACCATAGGTGGCCTAAAAAAATCTCCTCAATAGTTCTGGAAAGAAAATCCCCTGTTAAAGACCTGCAATCGTTAAGATGTCTATCCATCCATCCATCCATCCCCCATCCATTATCCAGAGTCTGTCCTTTCAGGGACGTTTAAGGGGTCACCTGCAGTGTGTCGGGCAGTCTGCTTTACTGGTACACGCATGAAAACGGCTCAGTCCTCGCCTCCAAGGAGCTCCCCCTCTACTGGGGAAACACACTTAAATAATTTATAATCATATAGCATTCTGAGTGGAATAATAAAAGTATAATGAGTTGTTATCTGGAAAAAACAAGACAAGACAAACCACCTGTGCCGAGTGACTGCTGCGGGTCATCTGTGATCTGGGTCCCCCGGCTTCCAGCAGGGGGCGCCCCCTCTCTCCCTCCCAAATTGCATTGATCTCTTGTTTGGCTAATGTGTCCTGAGCTGAGAATCAGCATTTACATTTTTCTTATTTTCCTTTTTTTTTTTTAAAAAAAAATATGTTTTAAATTCATAAAACATATGCATAGTTTAAAAAAGAACTATAAAAGAAATACTTTTGTAACCAGCTGTGAGATCAAGAAATAGACTAGTACCTGTGAAGTTCCCCGCCCACTCTTCATCCTGCATCCTCCCCCAATCAAATCTCCCCTCCTCCTCCTCAGAGGTAACACTATCCTGACTTGTCTGTTAATCACTACCTTGTTTTCCGTTATAGTTTTACCATCAATGTATGTATCCTAAACAGTATTAGGTTGAATGATAAGAAATCGCCATTTGTAAGACAAAAATAGTTGAATATCTGCAACTTCATATATATAGCTTCATATAGTTTAACTGACTAGTCTATTTTTAAACTTGGAAATAAGTATCATAATGTGTGCATTCTTTCATAATTTGCTTCATTTGCTCGACATAGTAAGATTCATCCTGCATAAAGCTACAGGTTCATTGTGTAGACTTTCATTGCTGAGATTTCATGTACCATACAAACTCACAGCTTATGCATCTTACTGTTGATGGACATTTGAGTTGTTTCCAATGTTTGGCCCTTACTGATAATGTTGCTATAAGCTTTCTTGTCTCCTGGGGCACACGTGCAAGTGTTGCTCTAGGGTATTTATCTAGGAATGAAATTGCTGGATGGCATGCTCTTCAGTATGGCTAGACCTAGTCCGGCTGTTTTCCAGATTGGCTGTACCAATTTACACTCCCACAGGCATCCACATTCTTGTCATCTCTCAGTATTACAGACTTAATTTTTCCAATCAGGTGTGTATGTAATGGTGTCATATTGTGGTTTAAATTTTTACTCCCCTGATTATTAATGAAGTTGAGCATTTTTTGTTTGTTTGTTTATTAGCCACTTGAATTTCCTCTTTTCAGATTATCTGTTCGAGTCTGTTGCCTATGTAAAAAATTGGGTTGTCTTTTGTTTTTTTCTTGACTTTTTAGGTTTTATGTTCTGGATATTAGTTGGTTATATGTGTTGTTCCAGTTTGTGGTTTGTTTTCATCTTTTTATGGTCCCTTCTCAATCTCTCCCTCTCTCAAAAATAATTTATGATGGAAATTTCAAACATATACAAAAATAGATAGAATAATATAATGAACCTCTTTGTACCTACCACTCAGCTTCAACAATTGTCATTTGATGGCCAATCTTGGTTCATCTATACCCTTTCAATTTCTGCTCCTCCAGTATTATTTTGAAGCAAATCTTAAACACTATTATTTCATCATAAAATTTTGAGAATTTATTTCTAAAAGATAGTCTATCTCTTTATGTAACATAACTACAATATCAGTATGACATCTAAATATTAAAATTCAATATCACCAACTTTTATATTAATGTAAGATAAACAGAAGTGGTTAATTTTAATGTCAGTCTACTTCATGGACCTATTTCTTTATTTTTATAGCTCATTTAAGAACTCCTTGCTCTGAGGCCATGAAGGTATTTGCCTCTCTCCTTTTTTTTAAGGTTTGTAGTTTTACATTTCACATTTATGTCTTTATTCCAAATTAAAATTATTTTTGTATATGTTATAAAGTAGATATTCAATTATTTTCCCCCCATAGCCCTTTTTTTAAGCACAATTTTTTTAAAATCTCTTTCCCACTCCTCTGTAATCTCACTCTCTCATATATCAAGTTTCCATATACATGTGGGTCTGTTCATGGGCTCTCTTTTCTGCTTCACTGATCTATTTCTCTATGCTTATGCCAAAGGAACACTATCATAATTACTAAAACCTTACAATAAGTCATGATACTTGGCAGGACAATCCCTTCACTTTGTTCTCCACATTATTATTGCTCTTTCATATGAATTTTCAAGTTTACCAAATTCTACATGCAAAAATGTGTTGAGATTTTGATTGTGATACATTGTATCTATATATAAATTTGGAAAAACTGACATCTTTACAACATAGACTCATTTATCCATGAATATAGTATACCTCTGCATTTATTAGAACATCCTTTAATATCTCTCCATAAAGTTTAATATTTTTATACGAGTCTAGCATACATTTTGTTAGACTTATTTGTTAGTACTTCATTTTTATTGCAAATTTAAATGATCACATTTTTTCAATGCTTATTGCATATATATTGAAATAAACTCAGTTTTTGCATGTTGATTTTATACCCAGAAATCTTGCTACACTTTTTTACTTGGTCTAATAATATTTGTAGACTCTTGGAGTGTCTATTCACACGATAATATTATCTGTACATATTTCAAGTTTTGTCTCCTTTTTCTCAACCTTAACCCTTACAATTTTTTTGGACAAGATGATCTCTTGAGTCCCTTCCAATGCAAAGATGTTGATTTTCCTCATGATCATCTTCTTTCTGATTAAGGCAGCTATGCACATCCTTCTAGAATCTTTCTTCTGATACAGACTAAGAGTGATAATTCTTATCCAGACCTTTGATAGTTGTATATCTTCAGCCTGAATGTAGAAGATCCTGCAGTTTGATCTCTTCTCCAACTTGTTGAGTCATTTCCTCTCAAAACTCAGTTCCTTCCCAAACTCTCAAATCATTTCTGGTTCACATTTTGAATCATGACTAATCTTCCAAGAAAACTGTGATGGCTGAGAGGTTGGCTGTGCCCACATGCCTTCCCCTTTTTCTTGAAACTCTTCCTGATCTCCTTCAGGGTGGGAGAGATGAAAAATGCCTTTGCTCCCACATCCAACCACTGCCTGAAAAAAGTGATGCATGCTATGCTATATTTTCTCTGGGGTGTCTAAGCTGCATCCAGGTGTAAGAATACCAAATACAGCATATCTGGACTCACCCAAGATTAGCCCCCTTTAGAGAAATGCCTAATGTTCTTGCCTGCTTTTATTGAGGATTTATGTATTAATAACAGATAGCTATTGGAAGAAGTTTTGTCAAATAAGTATTGAAGATAGTGTTTATCATGTTGTTCAATATTTCATATGTAAGGACACGCAGAATACATTCCTTTTGGAATTTAATATCAGCATAGTTAATCTTTCCTATTGAGCTAACATGTTTGTGCAATGGGGTTAACATTTTTTCAGAATTATTTTTAGATAAATTTTCATAACCTATAATTCTTGTTCTGGAGCTTCCTGTCCACTGAAGCAATGTTTGAGTCTCAGATGGAAAGCTAGTCATTGTTAAGAGAGAAAGAGCTTTCTAAAGACTTTCCTTTGACTGAGTGTGTATCAAGAGCTAGGCCTGACTACATTTTAGAAGATGACAGGAAAGTCTGTCCCTTCTATCCTCATGATCTGTGGATAGGAGAAGGGGGATAGAGAGAGAACAGACAAATCAGGTACCAGAGTTCTTCCCTGCCACTACCATTACTACCTCCACCACCTTCCCCACCAATGTATCAGGGCACAAGCTGCAAGTTGGGAGTTTTTGAATCATACAGAAGTATGGAGGCAACAGGAAGTGTCTGGGCTAGAGGCACCATTCGCCAGGCATGCCGAGTCCAGGAGAAGCACCCACAACAAGGCATGGAGATAGAGCAGAAAATATTAATAGTAGGTAGAGGAACCTGAGACCATTCTGAATGGTGGCAGCAGAGTGGCAGAAACCAAGTGGCAGCTGGCAAGGATCATGGGCTCCAGCAATGGGTGCTAGCACAACACCCCAGAAAGTGAGATGGGGCCATCCCATGACAGTGCTCATGAGTTCAGGGAGCAGGCTAGTCCAGCTCCTCACAGCGGAGAGCAGTGAAGGTCCAGGGGATGCCATGGAACCCAAGAGCCTCCTCCCTGGGCCATAGGAGGATCTGGTCGGTGTCACTGGCCACATTGGGGTTCCAGCAGGCAGAGAAAGCAATCTCCAAAAGGTCCAGATTCACTGGAGTCACCCAAGTTACCTACGAAAGACAGTTTTAATTGCTAAATCAAGCTAGAAATTTAACAAATTGGATGAAATTTAGGGGTTTTTTCCCTTCCTGCTGCCCAGTGGAACTGATAAGAAAGATTAGTTACAAAGAAAAAAATGTAAAGCCACAGTTTCCCTCCACAACTGCATTATAGAGTGAGTACATGTTCCCCCACTACACATCCTTTTTATGAAACTGAGAATATTTATCTCATCATGGTCTCTTTTTAGCTGCAGAGCCACTGACTTGCACATTATACTCAATGACAGCAAATATTCTTGCACAGGTGTGGAAGGGGTGGGCTTTGTAGTTGGGCAGACCTGAGTGGCCTGGGCTGCATTTAGACTTTCAGGGCCTCTAGGTGCTTTTACATTTGTGGGCCCCTTCCTCCATAAAAGTAATTAAACATATTTTAGCATTGTGTTGGCATAAAGACACCATAATATTAATATACTATATATTAATATTACATATTTTCTTTATTATTATTTCTTTATTATATATTAAAGAAAATATATACTATTAATATATGCTATATTAATAGTATATATTTAACCTAAATGTTCTTCCTTTATCTCCCGATTTTAAAATAAATTTTAAAACAGTTTCATGGACCCGTACAAGCATCACGGCCTGCAGGTCCCCGTCCCAGCCCTGGGCGCGCCTCTTTGCTCCTCACAGTAGGGCTGTCGGACTAAAAGATGGACCGCGTTCAAGGACTTGGCACCTGGCGGGAATAAACGTGGGCTTCCTTTCTTCACTTCCATGGATTTGATTTTCTGTGTCTATTTTAGTCACCTCGCAGCATATGTGGTTTTCATTGTGAGTCACCTTCAAAATTCTCTTTGGAAGTAGGTGGGGTATAAATTATAAATAAGGATTCCTTTTTGCTTCCTCAGCACTTAGCACAATGCCTTGCTCTATGTTCCCGACCCTTGTTTGTTGACTGTGCCGGTAAACGGCTCCCTCCCCTGCCGGCGCCCGCCCACCGCCCCGTCCCACCCGGCTGGCCTGGCTGGGGACCAGCGTGCGCCCTTCCTTTCCTCGTCCCTCTTCTTTCGCCCTCCGAATTCCTCCTTCCTTACTGGCCGGGACTCGGCTGCTGTCACAGTGAGGACGCGCCCACCAACTGTCAAGGGGTTGCGCTGCGATGAGGGGAGGCAGGGCCGCCCCGCCCGCCCCGCTGGCTCAGGGCGCGGGGGACCAGGGCGCGCGGGACCAGGGCGCGGGGGACCAAGGCGCGCGGGACCAGGGCGCGGGGACCAGGGCGTGGGAGACCAGGACTCGGCCCGGCCATGTGACCGCGGCGCGGCGCGCTGAGCCTCGGAGATTCGCTTTCAAATAGTACCCTATGGGAAAACATGCAAGCCCCTCTCCGTGTGCGCTCGGCTTCGTCGCCGTCACTGAGGATCTGAAACCCCTTCCTGAACGTTAAAGGGGAGCGATGCCAGGAGCCAGGGGAAGAGGAGCAGGCTGCAAAACTCGACCTGGGCATTTAATGGTGTGTCCGCCAGGAGGGTAGAAACCACGCATGTTTCCTTCATTAGCCAGATATCTGAGCGCTCATTATCTGCGGGGCACCAGGACTTTCAGACTGCACTAGAGCATTCAATGAGTTCGTGTGTATGTGTGTGTGTGTGTGTGTGTGTGTGTGTAAGGGGGGCAGAGTGGAACGGAATGCACTGATTCATTCAGCACGCCTTCTCACTTATTCAAGAGAAGACAAATCAAAAATTGCCTGGTAATGGGATAGAATCTGCAATTGAAAAAGAGGAGCCTGTGTGAGTTTATTCATGTCCCATGACACCAGCTCCTCCACTCCCCCACCCCCACCCACCTGTGGCATTCCAGGAGCTGGGGCCCTGAGCACTGGAATGAATCAAACTGAGTCAGTGACATGTCAGGGTTGGAAGGAGGAGAGAAGGAGAAAGTGGAAGAAAGAGATGGAGGGATGAGTTAAACAGAGAATGGATGTTGGAAGTCAAGCCACGGAGCTCCTAGACAGGAGTCGAGCTCGGACGACAGACCTGGACTGTTCCGGTGGGAAGAATCATATTATTAATAACCGTGATAATGTCGCCCGGCTATGAAGTGCTTCCAGTGCCAGGCACTGTTGTAAGCCTTCACACTCGGCAGCAGATTCAACCCTCCCAGATGCCCAGTGAGGCAGCTTCTCTCACAAACCCCGAATTACTGCTGAGAAGCCAGAGGCTCAGCAAGGGCCATGACTCAGCCAAGGATTCTGCCGCCAAGAGGCTGCCTCCCACGGGGAGCCTGCGCAGGTCCTGTGGCCTCTGCACAGGTGCCTGCGACACCATGGGGCAGGTGAGGTCAGGGTGGGCCGTGCAGCACTGCAATGGCCTCGCTGGGGTTAAGGGCAGAATGCGTGGAGTCGGACTGGCAGGCTTTGAATCCTGGCTCACCATTACTAACTCTGTGGCCTTGGCCAAGTCCTTTGCCCTTTCTGCATCTCGGTTTTCTTATATATCAAATGAGGATCAAGGGTGGCAATGAAGACGCCACCTCCTAGAGTGGCTGTAAGGAGTTAATACAATTCTGGATACAAAAGTTTAGCACAGGTGCAAAGGCAATATATGTAACCTAAACATTTGTACTGCTGTAATATTCTGAAATAAAGAACTAAAACATAAAACTGTACTATAAGTAAAATAAATAAATAAATAAAGTTTAGTGCAGTGCCTGGCCAGACAAGCACGGGCACGTGGCAGGCATCTGTGGCACATGATCTGCTTCACAGGAGAGCTGCCCTCCACCGTCCAGGCTTTGGGGACGCCCTGTGGACTCAGCGCTGAGTCAGCATTGGGCTTCCAGCCTTCAGTGCTCACAAATGAGGACAGACTGTGACATGCAGTGGGAACCACAGACAGGTGAAATGCTAATTAGAAGTGACCCCGCCTGTCCCCAAACTGATGAGCATGTTGGGAAACGTGCCCGAGTATGGCTGGGCCTGACCCGTGGAAACACCTCTGCTGTGATTAGCCACGGGGATGCTGGAGGACATCGGCTGGCCTCTGCCTCCATGTGGGCCACAGTCTGGCCGGGGGCGGAAGACTCTCCTACACGAACCAGTGAGTGGACCAGGCGGGATCTCCCCAAGGGCCACCTGCAGCATGCAGTCCTGGCCACTGGAGACCAGAGTGACTGGTGAGCCATGGGCCAGACGCAGGTGTGGGCAGAGCAGATGGCAGAAGGCCGGAGGCTGTGGCAGGCGGCCCGTGTGTGGGATGCTGTGACTCAGCCACCCAAGGACCGGCTTCAGGTCTTCACGCCCCACCTGCAATTGAGTCTCCACGCTCCTGACCAGGAATAGAACATTTTCTTTCCTTTTCCTGTTTTTGGTGAGGGGTAACCCTGTGGCCACAGGTGAGTCATGGCCAAGGCCGAGGCCCTCCGTGCCAGCGCTGCTATGGGCCGCTGGCTCTGCGGTTTGCATGTGCAGGGCTCACTGCGGCACGCCGACAAGTGCCCACAAGAAAGACGACCGTTAGAGATGTGCTCCTGCAGACGACTCCATCCCACCTGTCACAGAGGTAGGCACGGCAACCATCTGCTAGATTCTCTAGTCCCGCCCCTCCCCTTTCATTTTTAACCACAGATTTCACAGTTTGCCTTACTTATTTAAATCTGTTATTTAGAAAAAGACGTGTGTATTGCTAAGTAAGGAAATGGCAGCTTTGCCCATTGAAGCCTGTTCTTTCTAGTCCCTGTAGCTGGCTGTGGTCCCCTGAGAACCTCATGTTCGAGCCTGGGTATCCCATGACTGGGCTGGATTTAGGACCTGGTCTGCCTGGACTACTGGGTGCTCTGCACTAGACAGGGAGGAGAACTGTGAAAGTCAAGGTGACCTGTCTTTTTAAGAGTAATACTTATTACCCCACCTTCTTGATCCCCACGGTGGGGGATATTGATCTCTACTTTAACCCAGGGACAATATGATGCTCCTGAAGTCACGCTGCACAGCCAGACCATTGATTCAGTTATTCCGCACCTACCATGTGCCACACACTGTATGCCGGCATTGGCGATACCTCGGGGGGAGAGATGAAGTCCCCATGGAGCCAACACAGGCAAATTGTGTTAAGTGCCGTGAAAGGAACAGCCATGATGGAGAAAGGAGAATAGCGAAGAAGACCCTGGGGCAGGGACGGCCCTGGGAGAGGGACTCAGAAGCTGGGACCTGGCGGAGGAAAGGTAGGGACAGCTCCATGCAGAGGCTAAGCATGTGCAGTCAGCGGGCAGAGCAGAGCTTTGCAAACCTGGGAAGCAGAAGAATCTGGCCCTGGGCTTCTTTCTCACCCTCTACCCACAAGCCCTGGGGTCCCCGGCCTTCCCTGCCTTTGCAGCTCCTCAGTGGGAAGGACCAGGCCCTGTGCTTCTGCCCATGGCCAGCACAGCTTCCTGGAGGGCCTGCACCTGGCCAGAGTCCCGAGATGCCAAAACCTCCCCCAACCCACACACGCTCCCACCCGGCCTCACTCCAGTCGCAGGGCTCACTGGCCCTGCTGCCATCACTGCCATCTCTTGGGTCTCTGGTCACCTGGATGCAGCCTCATCACCCTATGGTTTCTGCTGTCACCACAGGGCACCACTCACTGCCCTGACCACACCTTCAGCCTGCAGTCTGCTGTCAGTAATGCGCTACTGCCAATCCCCCTCTCTCCTAGTGACATCTGGTGACTTCTACAAGATCTCTTCAAATGCCACTCCTTCCTGTGCACCCCACCCCCATGCTTACCTTTCTCCTTCTCTTCTGTTCCGGGCATTTCCCTAGAAGGCACATCCTTAGCTATTTAAGTCTCTCTCCCTGGCCTTCCGAGGGCAAGGGCTGAATCGCTTTATGTTTGCAGTCCCAGGAGCCAATGCAGAGTAGGTCCTCAATAAAGGCTTGTTGAGTGAACCATCATGAGCCCCTTGGAATAATAATCCCCTTCATTTCTGCAGCATTTATCAAAGCTCTTTCGAAGCTTTGTCCCATTTTATGGGACACCATACACTCTGTATGAGTAGGCGATGAGGCCCTTTTCTTACTACGGGGGCCCATTCACTGTCTGTGCCAAACGTATCTTGCTCTTGCTCTGTAAGCCTGTCTTGCCCTTCCTCAGTAAACTTCATTTCATGCTTGCTTTGCAAAAAAAAAAAAAAGGTAGGTGATGACCCGCTGCATGTGTAGGGAAGTGGACAAAGGCCATGTGACTTACTCTAGATCAGCGGTCCCCAACCTTTTTGGCACAAGGGACTGTTTTCATGGAAGACAATTTTTCCATGGACTGGGGTGGTAGGGGATGGTTTGGGCATGATTCAAGTGCATTACATTTATCGTGCACTTTATTTCTAATATTATTACTACATCGTAATATATAATGAAATAATTTTATAAAACTCACCATAGGTTGGGGGCCCCTGCTCTAGATCACACACACCAGGTGGCAGCGGGGCTGGGGCACAGTCCTAATGTCCTTTCTCCTAGTCCAGTGCTTGCCGTTAACTTCAGAGCACTCACACCTGGAGTTAGAAAAACCAAATTTCTCAGAATAAATCTTAAGGTCTAAGTTGAGAACACACCTGTTTTGTGCAAGCTTTTAAAAGCGCATGTTCATATAGGAGGTAACACAGCCTTGCAGTTAGAGATTCAAGAAGCATTGCTGCACACCTGCTGTATACTGAACTAGCATCTAGGAAACACCAAAGATCGTAAGTCTCTGCTCTGTAGCATTCACAATTATTGGGGGGAAAAGGACCCAGAGAAACCCAGGAAATGGAGAAAGGGTGTCGGTTCAAGGCACGGTTAGGTAAGTGCAGAAGCTCTGGGTGGAGCAAGGTATTCTAGAAAGGACTTGGAGGGGGCCCCAGGCAGCCACTCCCACACAGAAGAGGAGTGAGCAGAGGAGTGGGGAGGAGGCCGGACACGTGCAGAGGACACGAGGCAGCCCCTGCTGGCTGGGGGAGGAGCCTGGCGGGCCACCTGTGGGAGTGCTGCCCGGAGTCTTCCTGGACGGCTCACCCACAAGTCAGCATTTCTGTTCCTCAGTTGCTGGGCGCAGTTTTGAGGAAAACAAACTTAATCTCTGCACAGAAAGGCTGCCTCTCGCCAGGGGATTCTAAGAGGGTAGGCTTTGCCTTTCCCACTCCCAGCAGAGGCGCCAGCCTGTCCCTGGTGGACTTCTAAGGTTGTAAGGAGGTTTCTGAAGGACTCAGCACATGGAGGCCTCACGGGGAAGCAGGTGTAGCGGGGACTCCTTTCTATTCTTTCTTTCGGAGTCTTTCTTTGGTAGCACAGGGCTGGTTCGGGGACCCAGGCAGCGCTCTGCTTCTTTTCGCCCTGTCCTTAGGCAGCACTCCTGTGTTTAAGCGGATCTTTCCCCTCTGAGACCTGGTTGGTGGGGAGCAGCTCACACACGAGCATCTCTGGCTCAGCCCGCTGGCCTCACTGCAGGGCCTGGGCTGTTCACGGGCCTACGGAGTCCCAGGTCCCTCCTCATGGGGCGACACAGAAGCTAGCCCACACCCATGAAAACATTTACTGTATTCCAACAGAGTTTCTGGGGAAAGGGTCCCCACCTCTTTTCATGACTCTGCTTAAAGGCTGCCAGCCCTTGTTTAGCTCCGCCCTGGGTCTACCCTCCTACCGCAACACAAGTCGGTTCTCTGTGGTCTGATCCTCCGGCCACTGAGCGAGGAGCGCCAGGCCATACACCCGCGTATTGGGGGTCGGCAGGTCGGGGGGGAAGAAGAGACAGCAGAAGGGGGAAATCCCTACAGCCCCCGTGAAACCAACAGGCAGAAGTGTGGCAGATGCGAGAACAGCCATGACAGCCACCACTGAGTGGGCACCCACTCGGTACTGGACACCCTTTGTGGGCTTTATAAACATCTCACCTCATCAGTGTAGGTGTTGCCATCTTTACGAACGAGGACATTGGAATTCACAGATGAGGTTACTTGCCTGCTGTCATAGTAGTCAAGGGCAAAGCTCACATCTAAACAGAGGCTTATGATTTCAACCTTATAATTGTAATCTCTTCAAACCACATTGCAGAGTATCTGCTATGTGCCAGGCACCGTTCTAGACACTGAGAACATGCAGGATATAAACACGTGGAAAGATGCCTCTGCCTCACTCATTCCAGAGTTATTCACAGAATCACAGCTGCCGTGGAGACTGAGGCAACCATGCACAGATGAGTAAGAGAGGCCCAGAGATGCCGAGTGACATGCTCTTGGTCACTCAGGAAATGGAAAGGCTCTGCGTGCTATGTCTCCCGTCTTTGGAAGTGAGCCTTTCTTAGGCAGTTAAGAGAATCTTCATTTTCTGGAAGTCCTCCTCACTGCTCTGGAGGGGTTTTCCTTGCCTACCCCGGTGGGTGAGCCCCTGGCGTTCAGAGTTGTAGGGGTGTCTGCCACTTGTAGAGGGGGTATGCTTCTGGTCCTGGCCTTCACCTTCGGGAAGTATGTAAATGCCGGATATTCCTGGGTTTTTTTTAACGCATGGTATTTATGAGGTCTTTTCCCCCAGGGGCTGCCCCATGTTGTGAAATGTGGATATGGCAAGCATTTCTAACGCAGTAAGTGCAACCAGATGTGTGGATGGAGCTGAGGAGACACAGCAAGCTTTTGTGAGGGCTGCACAGCCTGGAGACTCAGGCTATTTCTCTGCTCTCTGGGGAAATGAGTTTATGACTGGCAAGAAACCACAGCCCAAGGTGTCCCCTGAACACCAGTTCCATGTTTCCCCTGCCAGATGGGGCCCTGGTCCTGCACCCTCCCACCCAGCTCTCAGTGCCAGCAGATGGTAGCCAGGCGCCGACACTCTTCTCTCTCATCTCGCTCCAACAGTCGTGCCCGTGATACTGACGAGGGGGCTGGGGCTCAGTTTGGTTAAGTAACCTGGCCGGGGCCACACAGTAAGCAGCAGGCGGGTTGAGATGCAAACCAGGACAGTAGGACTGCAAAGCCCATTTTCCTTCAGGCCACCACATTGTGTCTCTAGCCTCCTTCCCTCAGAGCTTGCTGGCCAGGGGCAGGAGGTCTGCAGGGCTCCAGCAAAGAAGGAAGGCTCTGTCCTATGCCACAGGCAACGAAAAAGACCTCCTAGCAGTATGGTCATGGCCAGCGGTGAGGTTTCAGAGGAGAAAAAGTAGTACTGGTCCTTGAGGAATTCAAAATGCATCAGACAAGTTGTGAATGACACGTGTCAATATACAATCCTGGGGCCGGGCGCGGTTGCTCACGCCTGTAATCCTAGCACTCTGGGAGGCCGAGGCGGGTGGATCACTCAAGGTCAGGAGTTCAAAACCAGCCTGAAGAAGAATGAGACACTGTCTCTATTAAAAATAGAAAGAAACTCAAGCAGAACCTTGGAGGTAAAAAAAAAAAATAAATAAAAAAGAAAAGAAAAAAAAATAGAAAGAAATTAATTGACCAACTAAAAATATATAGAAAAAAGTAGCCGGGCATGGTGGCGCATGCCTGTAGTCCCAGCTACTTGGGAGGCTGAGGCAGGAGGATAGCTTGAGCCCAGGAGTTTGAGGTTGCTGTGAGCTAGGCTGATGCCAGGGCACTCTAGCCCAGGCAAGAGAGTGATACTCTGTCTCAAAAAAAAAAAATATATATATATATATATACACACACACACAATCCTGGAGAAACAAAACAAGTGGTGGATGCTTTAAGAGTTCTGGACTTGACCTGGAGTAACTGGGAAAGCATTCAGGATAGAGGGATTTAAGCTGTACCTGGAAGGATGGGAGGGATTTGGAGAAGCAGAGGGGTATGAGAAGCACATGAAGCTAACGGTATGTAAAAAGAGCAGGAGCACAGAGAGAAATTCAAGAGGTGGGGTTGGAGAGATGAGAAATAACATTTGCTCAGCACCTAATGTGTGCATGGTGCCGGGGGCTCCTGATTATCTCATTTATTTAAATCAGGTATATTTAGTTTTAAATGTACATTTTAAGTGTATAGTTCAATGAGTTTTGATAGATATATATACCTGTGTAATCCTCACTACAATCAAAATATAGTCGGCCCACTGTATATGCAGTTTTGCGTGTGTGAATTCAACCAACCTTAGACTCTAAAAAGTGTGGGGAAAAAACCACAATAGAAAATAATAATACAATACACTAAAAAATACAAATTTTAAGAACGACATGTATATCAATTCCAGGAGTTTCTTAAAAAAGAAAAAGAAAAAAAAAAAAAAGAACGACATGCCTAACAACTACTTACATAGCATTTATACTGTATTAGGTATTGTAAGTAATCTAGAGATGATTTAAAGTATACTGGAGGTTGTGTGTAGGTTCTATGAAAATACTATGCCATCTTATACAAGGAACTTGAGCATCACTGGATTTTGGTATATGCTGGGGTCCTGGAACCAGTCCCCACTCAGATACCGAGGGACAACTGTATACATTTCCATCATCCTCAAATTCCATCATTATCATTCTCATGTTCTTTTGTGGTCACCCACTCCCTCACTCCACCCAACCAAGCATCGATCTACTTTTTATCGCTATAGATTAGGTTTGTCTTTTCTAGACTTCACATAAATAAAATCATACAGTAAGTGGCCTTTTATATTTGGCAACTTTGGCTCAGCATGTTTCTGAAACGTTGTCACATGTATCAGTGGTTCTTCCCTCAAACACTGCTTAGCTGCATCTCACACGCTTTATCATGTTGTATTTTCATTTTCATGTGTTTCCAATATGTTTCAGTTAAGAGCATCACTGACATGCTGGCGGTTTCCCTGGGCTGGGGCGGGGGCTTTGGAAGAAGGACTATTGTAGCCGGGCTGGTTTAGGCTCAGCAAGCCTGAAGGCAGGAGATTAGGTGTGTTGATTCCCTGAGCTTCAGTTTTAGTTTTGGAATTAATTAATGTGATTGATAAACTATGGTTATTCTTCGCCAGGGTATAAAGAAGTATAAAGCAGGGCTGTCCAACAGAAATATGGTATAAGCCACATATGTATAATAATCATAAATTTTCTTATAGTCACATTAACAATTTAAAAAGAAACAAGTGAAATTAATTTCATTAATATAGTGTATTTAACCTGATAGATAAAAAATATTCTAATTTTAACATATAATCAATATACAAAAATAATTAATGAGGTATTTTACCTTCTTATTTTTGCCTTCAGTCTTCAGGATGCAGCGTGTATTTTGCACTCACAGCACATCTCAATCTGGACTGGCCACACTACAAGGACTTGAGAGCCACATGTGGCTAGTGGCTGCCATGTTGGATGACGCAGGTTTCTGGAACTGTCCTCGACTAGCAGCCAATAGACCTGCCCTTGATGAGCAGATGAGGCTCAGAAACAGAGATTCTCCCTTGAGCTGGCTCAGGAAAGGGGGTTCCGTGCAAGGATCTACGTGGAAGGGATGGTGACTCAGAACAGGAGCCCTGGCCCAGCTGGCCCTCGTGGGAGCTGGGGCTGCCAGGGGAAAGCCCTCCCAAGCCAGGGCCACACTCCCATCTTTCCAGGAACCTGCAGCCCATGTCGCTGCCCTCTGAGTGTCTGCTCTATCCTCCAGTCTCTGCCCCTGGCTCCTCCACGCCCTCAGCCTGCACCCAAACATCACGGGATCGCCTGCTTTGCTTCGCCCCTCCCCTTCCTGCACCACAATCCTTCAAATAGCACAGCCTCTCAGTTTCCCAAACTTACGGCCTGAAGGAGGAATCTTGGATGCCCAGAGCATCTTTCTCACCAGGCCACAGCTCAGGGGCCTTGGGAGAGGCCCTACTTAAGTCGCAGCCCACCCTGATTTAGCCGACATGGGAGGAGGGGCAGATTCCACGGGGGCAGGAGGGTGAAATAAGATTGGCCCCACATCTGACATGCAGGAACGGGAACAGGGGAGGCAAAAGCCACTCTTGAGGGTTCAGAGACAGCCCTCCCACAATACTCTGTCCAAAGGGAAGAGAAGTGTTTCCTCTAAAGGCTGGGTTAGTTCAGCGGCAACTGGAATGTTAGGGAATCCACAGAGAAACAGGTTCCCTGCGGCAACAGCTAGACTCAGACTCGAGGGTTTGAAAAGGAGCTCAGAGACATTAATTCCCATGACACCTTTATCCTCTTGGGGACCTGGGCACAACAGCATAGCATTCATAATGGGCTCTTGTTAAAGGTCTTCATTTCTGTCTGATTCCAGCAGAAGAGCTTCATATTTGTATTTTTGAGCCCTCACTTTCCTGGGAGGAAGATGGGAAGGTCAGATGAAATGCTGGTGAAGAAAGGCCGTAACTTCCCGGAGGTGTTGAACATGACAAAGAGGAAGCTGTCCCCCCAGTAGAAACTGGGAGGACAGTTTCCTCTTTGCCTCCAACTGAGAGACCTCAGGCCACCTCTGGGATTCTGAGTTTCCCTCCACGTGGGGACTGAGCACTGGGGCCAGGACTGGAAGGATTTGGATTCCGCCATGGCTGGGGCAGGGCCCTGCTTCTGCCTCCATGGCCTGCAGTGCCAGGAAGGCTTGGAGCTGCTCCCTGGCCTGTGACCACCCTGGGAAACAACAAGCTAAGGGCTCAGAGCCACAGCATCGGCACGGCTGGAAGGGCCACAGAACCCTGCCAGAGCCCAGCCTGACAGCCACAGAGCAGCCACCTCACCCAAGGTCGGGGAAGCAGGAAGCCCAGCCCTGTTCACACAGCCGCAGAGAGACCACACTTTATTAGTGTTGCTTTCATCGTATTAACACAAGGAATAACAAGTGCTTTCAACATCCTAAATCACACATCTGGGAGCTGCAGGAGGCTATAAAGACGCAAACCCTGCAAAGAGCTGGCCACTTGTCCAGGCTTTAAGAGGTTCAGATGGACTTCAGATCTGTCTCACTTGATTTCTGGGCTCAGCCCCACCTCACCAGGTCACCCAGCCTCACTCAAGGCCAGACACCGTGGTCCTGATTGCTCAGGCAGCAGCCAAGTTCCAATGTTCCATCCAAACGCTGCCATCTCCAGAACCACTTGAAAGAACTAGGACTTGGAACTCTCCTTGGTAGACAGAGCTGTCCGTGAGAAAGACTGAAAGCCTGGCCAGCCGCAGTGGGGCGCAGAGGACAGGTTCGGGCAGAAAAGACCCTTGCATCTCAGCGTGGGCCTTCTACCCCCAGGGGGACAGCCCAGACCCTCTTGGAATAGCGCTGACTCTGCCTGCAGAGGGCCGGCACCCTTGGGGTCTGTGAATTCCATTTGCGGTGGCCACAGCAGTGAAGCCACGCTGCACAGGCTCTATGCGCTCCCTCGCCATGTGCTTATCGAGTGATGCCATTTGCAGCTGGTCGCCACGGGCTCCTTAGCCAGGTTAGGATTCTCAGGTGGGAATCCTAACCCCTGCCTTGCTTACTGCACAGGGCTGTTCCATCAGTACAAAATGGAAGAGCTATGTGAATGGCTGGGTGCCGAAAAATGTAATGATGGCACTTGTTGAAATGCCATCTAACCTGCAGAACATATTTTATGGCCCATAAAAATGTAGTTTCCTCTGTGGAATAAGGACAATGCAAATTCCAGGGCAAAATGTGAAACAAGAAATATTGGGCCAACAGCAAGGCAGTAAATGGCATTTCCAATTCCATTCCTTAAAAACCTTGGCTGAGCCGCTGGGGTGAACGTGGACCATTGGCACAGGTCCCTTTGCTGAGAGAGGCGGGTTCCCAGCCCTGGGTCCTCCCCACCACCATGACATCCACTGTCCCCCACACCCCACCCAACTCCTGCCTCTCACCTTCTGTGTTGGGCTCCTGCCGCTGCCCCTCGCCTGAAACTCCACCTGCCACCCACACCCAAGTGTCTCCCTGCTCCTCCCACACAGACCCCTGAGCCTGGGGCTCCCATAGAGGGCTCCCCTGGCTTGAATGCCTGGAACCTTAGGATAGATTGCCTTTTGTCTCAGTGTGCCCCCCAAAGCAATCCCTGAGACAAGGACTCGGGTGCAAGTCACTTATTTGGGAGCTGCTTCCTGGCAGCAGGGAGAGGGAGCGAGAAAGAGAGCAGAGAGCGGGGAGGGGAGGACAGCTGCAAAGGGCTGTGTTCTGGCTCTGGGCAATGGGCGGGGCGGCTGAGAGACCATCCTGTCAGGGGCCACCTCGGAATCACCCCACCTAGGGCAAGGAGGCTGAAGCAGCCAGGAAGCCGGGGTATTTCCACCCACTGTGGTCCCTCATTGTTAGAGGGGGCCCCTGGAAGGCACTGACTCCCTCAGACTCTCAGTCTAAATTGCTGTGGACAGACAGGGCTAGAGAAAGCCTCCAGGCAGAGTCACAGGTGCTGGGGTGGGAAGCCACCTGCATATACAGGAACTGTCCTCGAGCCTGCAGGTGAGCTCCGCTGGCCAAAGGAATGTGCAGGGGACACAGACAATGCCACATGGATCAAGGCTCCCAGAGGAGTGTCAGAAAGCAGCAGGGTGGCTCTCCCTGCAGGCCCCAAAGTCATCAATGGTGACACAGGTGGAAGCTGCAGGGTGGTGCGGAGTCAAGAGACCCGAATGGGAATCCGGCTCTGCCCCCTGAGCAAAGCCTTCCTCTCTGGCTCAGATGGGGGACTCACGCCTCTCCCACAGGATTGCTGTGAGCCCTGAAGGAGGAAATGGGGGAAATGCAGGAGAGGATGCTAGAAACAAACACAAGTGACCCTTGAGAATAAGCACATCCCCAACACCTGAAACAGGCAGCAGGATGCCTGCTCCCCCCCACACCACACTCGCCCCAGCCCTGGACTCCACTCCCACACCGGACAGGCATTCTGAAACCGCACTGCTGCGTGCGTTCTGAGATAAATGACGCGGGCCAAGATGTGTGTTATTCAGTGCATTTACCACGCACCAGCTACTCGTGCTCTTGACCAACCATTATGGAAAATTCAGCATTAGTAAGAGCTGGTGTGGCTCCACGGCGCACCCCGCGGATTGCCCACCTCGCCGGCATCTCACATGCCCGCCTTCAGCTCCTTCTGTGTCTTCAATCTCTCCCCGATTCCTGCCTGCACATCCTGTGCACTCCCAACAGGGAGACTTCGATAAGATGTGATTTCACCATGTCATTTCCTTGCTGAAACGCAAGGGAGTTTTCTTTCTTTTCTTATTGTGTTAGATACCTATTGAGTTGCCTTCCCAGGCAGATTTTGTGGAAACTGCCTTCTCCCAACTCGTTTGGTAAAAGCAATTGGTTGTGGTGACTATTCTAAGTTACAGTGCATTGTTACAGTTATGGTTAACTGTTTCAGGGGTGGGCCAATAGGCAGACATTTAGAATATGGACTGAGCAAGAGAGAAGGTAGGCGTGTCTAGGTGGCTGGATGTGTAACATACTCAAGAGCTGGAAAGCAGCGGAGAGTAAACATTTCTACCCTGCTTCCCATTCCACACTGGGACACTAGCGCCACCCCCCCCCCCCCCAATGCAGGACTTGCAGAGTAGTGGGACCAAACTTGCTCCACCAATATAAACAGAGCAAAATAAGTGACTAAGGAACCTTAGAACCAGCTTCCTCCTACTGACCCAAACCCCTCCCCTGGGTAGTCAGGGACAAAACTATCTGCTGGGTTTTTGCACAATCGATGTCTATCTGCTAAAACATAACACCATTTACAATAACATAAAAACCACAAGAAAAACAGGAAACTACAAAACATTGTTGGGAGGAGAAAAGAGAAGACTTAAATAAATGCATGATATATAGTCATGCTCCAGATAGGACATGTCGTTCAATGGTGGAACACATACAGGACGGTGGGCCCATAAAGTTATAGTACCATATTTTTGCTGTATCTTTTCTATATGTAGATCTGTTTAGGTACACAAATACTTAAAATTGTGCTGCAAATGCCTACAGTTTTTGATATAGTACATGCTGTAGAGGTTTGTAGACTAGGAGCAGGAGTCTATACTGGATAGCCTAGGCGTGCGGTAGCCTTTACCATGGAGGTTTGTGTAAGTTCAATCCATGATGTTTGCACAACAATGAAATAGCCTAATGATGCATTTCTCAGAACGTGTCTCCATTGTTAAGTGACACCTATGTTTTTTTCATTCATTTACTTTCAACTGGTAGTTGCCTTTATATTTAAAGTGTATCTCTTGAATACAGTTTATAGTTGGCTCTTGCTTTTTAAAAAAATCCATTCTGACAATTCCTGCCTTTAATTGCAGTGTTTACTCCATTTATATTAGTGAAAGGTTTATGTTTTATTATTTCCTACTTGTTTCTTTGGGTTTTTCTTCCATAGTCTCTTTTTTCTACATTTCCTATTAGCCTTTTAGCTAAACTTCTTTGTATTATTATTTTATTTTTAATGGGTGCTCTGGGAATCATAATATACATCTTTAACTTGTCACAGTCTAAATTCAGTCAATACTATTACCGAATATAAGGTGTATTTTTCAGGGTTCTCCAGAGAAACAAAACCGATTAGATATATACAGAGAGAAAGAGATTTCCTTTGAAGGACTGGCTCACGTGATTATAGGCCATGAAGTCCCACAATCTGCCGTCTGAAAGCCGGGGGGTATATTTCCAGTCTGAACCTAGTGGTCCGAGAAGCAGCAGAGCCAATGGTAGAAGTCCTAGCATGAGTCCTACGGCCGGAGAACTGGGGATGGTATTAATGTAAGTCCCCATCCAAGTTGGAAGGCCTGAGAATTGGGAGCTCTGATGTCTGAGGTCAGGAGAAGATGGGCGTCCCAGCTCACATGGACAACAAATTCGCATTTTCCCTGCGCTTTTGTTCTAGTCAGGCCCCCAACAGACTGGATGATAGTTCACACCGGTGAGAGATCTTCTTTACTCAGTCTACTGATTTCAAATGCTAATCTCTTCCAGAAACACCCTCACAGACACACCCAGAAAGAATGTTCTACCAGCTATCTGGTCATCCCTTGGTCTAGTCGAGCTGACGGATGAAATTCACCCTCACAACATGTAAAGACCTTGCAACTGAGGTGTAGGTCCGGATTCCCTACTCTTATGTTATAATTGCTATATGTTTTATATCTATATACATGATAAACCTTATAGGACAATGTTAATATTTTTACTTTAAACAATCAAGTAAGTTATAAAGAAATTAAGAGAAAAAAGAAAATAATGTTTTTAATATTTATTCAGATATTTACCATTCTCAGTGCTCTTCATTCCTTCCCGATGATTTGAGTTTTATTCTGATATCATTTTCCTTCCATCTGAAAAAACTATCTGTAGCACATCCTTGTGAAGGTCTGCTGGAGACAAATTCTTAGGTTTTTTTTTTTTTAACTGAAGATGTCTTTATTTTACCTTCATTCCTAAATATTTTTGCCAGATATGGAATTCTGGGTTTCCTTTTAGTACTTTAAAAATATTGTTCTACTCCCTCCTGGCCCTCATGGTTTCTGATGAGAAGATAGCCATTGTTGTTCCCTTGTAGGTAATATGTTATTTGCTTTTTCTTGCTATTCTGCAAGGTTTGTCTTTTTATATTTGCCTTTCAGTAGTTTGACTATAATGTGCTTCAGCACATCCTGCCTAGTATTTTTGGAAAATTTTGAATTATAGATTTAGAATGTTTGATATTATTTAACAGATCTCTGAGGCACTGTGTATTTTTTTTAATTTTTAAAAATCCCTGTTCTTCATATTAATTTCTATGACTCTGTCTTCAAGTTCACTTATTTTTTTCCTCTGTCATCTCCATTGTGTTGTTAAATTTACTTAGCGGTTTTTTTTAAAATTTCAAATATGACATTTTTTGGTTTTAGTTTTTTTTGTTTCTATTCACCTGCTGAAATTTCCTATTTTGATTCATTGTGAGGGTATTTATTTATTTCACTGAGGATAGTTATGATAATAGCTGCTTTAAAATTCCTGTCTGTTGATTGCACATCCAGTTTATCTCAAGTTTGTTCTCAGTCGATATTCTTTTCTCTCAAGAATGTGCTTCTTTTTCTTGGTTTTATGTATGTCAAGAACTTCTGGATTATGTTCTGGACATTATGAATGTTAAGTCATGAAAACACTGGATTATCAGTTATGCTATTTTCCCTGAAGAGTATTGTTCTTCTTTTATCCTTTTTTTTAAGCAGGTAAATATCTTTGTTGGACTCAAACCGCAAATTTTTGGCTAGCATCTCCCATCTCAATTCAGACATTTTGTCCTTGGCTGAGCTGCTTTGAGTCTGCTTCACACATGTGTGACTTAGGGGTCAATAAAGACATGGAAAGGCAGGATTTGGGGATCCCCTCTCAAGTCCCCTTTTCTTCTGGGATTCCCCCTGCAGCGCCTGTGTTCCCGTGTTCAGTATCCTGGCTCCCCAGAAGGACGGAAGCTGTTCCCCAGCCCTGCCACGGTCCCTGCACTGGCCTGACTGCCTGGGCCCAGTCCAAACGCGGTGGAAACGAGGCTCGTTTCACACAACTCCACTCCTCCAAGCACAGACTCCCCACCAGGGCTGCCTGCTCCTCCTCGCTCTCCAGTGCCTTCAGAAAGTGGTGGTTTTGTTTCATTTAGTTTATTCTGTTCTGAGTTTATAGTTTTTAGCTGCAGGAGGGTTGGTCTGGGAGAGTCTTTCTT